AACTGAGCTGGAGAACAGAGCTTTGGAACGATAAACATCAATGTTTAAAACTACTTTCAACTACTTGTTGCTGGCGTACGCATTTTATATTGATCAAACTGTTATTAAGATCTGTAAAACATAACGAAATACAAATTATTTCATAACATCATATAGTTGTCATAATGAAAATAGTATTAAAGCATTATTGTCACATGCAATGATTATACTGTTCGGTATCATTAGTAAACTTTGCAACCACATTATGTGAAACATTCTATAAGAGGTGAGGAAATTGAATGAAGCAGTGGTAAAATCTAACCATATATACAAAATTGTATATTTTGGAAATACCAACTATACAAAATTGTATATTTTGGAAATATCAAATATACAAAATTGTATATTTTGTATATATGGGTATTTTTTCTTGTGTTAGTAATGAATTAGCTACATGTAACTATAGCACATGGAACTCGTGGGATTCAACTCTTTGCAGACATAGTAGAAGTATTAATGTTGTTATTTGCTGATGATGTAATTAACGTTTCTGATACTATCTGTGGTTATATGAACAGCGTCAGATAAATATTCTAGATTCATATGCAGATAAGTGGGGAAGGACTGTTAACAAATGTTGTTGTTTTCAGATATATATTAAAAAGTGTGGCACTAAAGGGGGCACGTTTTAGAGGTTGTTAATACTAACAGATATCCAGATGAGCCTTCATTTGTAGGTATAGTCTAAGTAAATCTGTTGCTTATCTAGCTCTACGTGCCAAAAGATCTTTACTTGAGTTACTTACATCAACTAGAAGCATATCTATTGCTGCCCCAAAAGTGTTCTGCAAGTTACTAGATTATCAGATTAGTCCGATTCTGAAATTTTGGGGATCAATAGATTTAAGAGTATAGAGAAAATCAAGCTACTAGCTTGTTAAAACTTTTTACAGACAGGAAAACAAACACGATATGCTATAGTTTATGGTAAAGGTGGCCGACATCCACCTATTACCTACCATCAATAACAGTTCAGGATAAAACCTTTATAGAGAATATAAAAATGTGTTAGAACCAGAAATGTATCTTTATGCAATTTGCGAATTAAAGCTTCGAAATATTTCACTGAAATTGAGAGGGGGACTATTACGGTTAAGAAATACTGTATTGAAGGTTAGGGCAAAGAAAATCGATATATGCTGTCCTTTATATAATCGAGGTGTAGAGGACGCATATCATTTTCTACTTGTATGTGCTACTTTTGATGCGATTTGAATTAAATATCTATCAAAGACATGTATTACTAAAGTAAATATGCATACATTTAAAACGATAATTGCCAACTGATAAGGAACAAGTACAATCACTATGCCTGTTTTTTATCATGCGTATGAAAGAAGAAAGTATTTGTTAAACACTGTTTAAAATTAGAACTATGTATTTAGTCACTACCATACTCGTAAACTGTTATTTGAATATGGACCTATGGCCTTCACACTGAATAAAGTATGACTGATATACAACATGAACAAATCAATACAAATTACTGCACAGAAGTTACAATGGCAACACACAATAGAGTGGTGGTACATAATATAGAGACTTACAAAATTCAATGGCAATATCAAATGTGGAAACAGTGATCAGTATCAAATTCACAAACATTGGTGACAGCAAAATTCAGTGATGATAATACATTTACCCACCAGCGAAAGTGATCAAGCCTCTGAGAAAGGCCGAGACTGAATACCCAGAGTGAAATGTTATCCTCACTAAAAGCTGGCCTTTATGTGAAGTCAGATGAAATAAGAGATGAAATAGTCACGCCTTCGTCCTCTTATTTCACCCAAACACCCAAACGCCAAGAATATTCTTTTACACTCCACACCAGTCCACGCTGTTCCGGATGTTTACACATCACTCCGGAATATAAATATAGTAACTTCCTCAACGCTACTTAAATATATAGTACTACATTCCTGACAACTAATCATTGTCCAATGCAATGCAATGAGCTTCTACTGAATCTTAACATAAACAATGTAACATCATTACAACACTGTCTAACAATAGTGAGTGAGTGAGTGAGTATGGTTTTATGCCGCTTTTAGCAATATTCCAGCAATATCACGGCGGGGGACACCACAAATGGGCTTCACACATTGTACCCATGTCGGGAATCGAACCCTGGTCTTCGTCGTGACGAGCTAATCTAACAATAAATTACACTGTCATGTAACAATATTCATATGCACACAACATATATGTAGTGATAGTTACTAAATAAAAAAATGCACAATGCAAATTGAAAGCGAAAACAAGAAGAAAAAGTCAACGGTAGCCCCCGCCTTTCTAAGTATGTGCATAATAAAAGCAACAAAATCCTGTGCATAGAATTTAAAATAATCATAGCCTCTGTTCCAAGATGTACAGCAAGAGGGATGGTTTCGACTTTTCAATCGTGAACTTGCCCTTCATGTTGAGCACCAAATCATCAGCTCCAGTTAATGGCGTCTACATTTCTTAAATTGTTAGATACTTCAGAGCATGTACATGTTATTCACATTTAACGGAAAGACACAAATAAGACATCTATTGTACGAATCGACTGTATCATGAGCTTGCGTTTATGAATCACTATCAGATAGTGATGATACGAGGTGTTCTCGAAAACGTGAGCCTATCCTGCCACACCAGTGGCACCCATCACAAACACAAACAAAGGCAAGTCAATGTTAACCTGAAAAGAAAATCGGAAACATAGCGTACAAGTCAAAATAGGGAATTGCATCGGACATAATTTTTTGTCACTGATGCATCAAATTTGGAAATGTCTTCACATGTCGGCCATAAAACCTTTTGAATGCTTTTGGTCAAAGAGCTTCTGAGCAGGAGTCAAAAGACGCTCTTTGAAATCTTCGTAGAAAGAGCATGCTCGATTGTACCTCAAAAGTTGCGAAAGACTGGAGCTGCTGGAATATTGCTCGACATAAAGGGGAAGTGTACCATTGGGACGTCATCCCTGTTGTCATACAGGCTTGTGGAGAGTGTTTTGTCACTCTGAGTCTTTATGCATAGCTCTAAATATGAAACGGGTGAGACTGTCTCAATGGTCTCCGTTATTTCTAGTTCAGGTGGGAAAATAAATGGAAGTGAATTGGTTATTTGATGGTTGTTGAACGATATCAGATCATCGATATACCTGAAGATGAAGTTAAACTTCAGATTCAGAAACTTGGCTAGATTACCTGCCAATCCGAGCAAAAATTCCGATTTGTATGCATAAAGAAACAGATCCAAAAGAAGGGGAGCAAAACTTGTGCCAATTGGGATGCCTCCTTCTTGCCTAGATATCTTACGCCTAACTTTTACTTGGATGTTATCAAAGAGGAAGTCCAGCATTTCACATATTGTTTTCTCAGTAAATATTAGATGTTATTTACTTTCATTTTAGACGAATTGTCCTGAACCTTTGAAGATAGATATGTAACTGTATCTATGATCACGACTTTTAGTAACAAAAGGCTCATAGATCAAGGAAAAACGTCAAGCACATCCTTTGAGTTTTGAGAATCCGTTCCACTTGTTTGAAATACTTTCTGTGAATATAAAGAAAGTCCATCCTTGATTGTATTAAGGATTATGGTTATTCTTTGAGACAGAGATTTTGTGGTACATGTGCTGGACCCAGCAATATATCTCTCTTTCTATGGATATGTTTTGAATTCAGTTCAGTCAAAAGATTTCTTCCTCAGTTCATTGTAGCCTTATATTTAACATCATTTAATATGTCACTTATACCAAGTTCTTTGATCCAACTGTTAATAGAGCGATATACTTATATATAATGGTTATGTTATTTGAGGCCTTGTCAGTGGGAACAACTACAAACTTTTCATGTAGGGAAGTCAGACTTTGGATGACATCTGGATGGGACAAAACGGGTTTATTCAAATTCTCTGTTTCCTCTATTATCAAATCATGACAAATGTATGTCATATATCTCATTATACCAAAACGGTTACTCCTAAAGGTTGTGAGTACATCTGACAATTAACCAAATGATTCCTTATATCCCTTAAATTGTTTCTATACTTCCTATATTTTCAACGACGGGAATAATAATGGTACTTTTTAGTAGAAAGAGCTTTTGATTTGATAGCAATGCTTCATAGTATATTTTCAAAACTCTAAATCCATAGCAAAATAGCAAAATAATTAAGCGATTCCCGAATTGGTGTATGATGCTTGTTTTAACACAGCATTATAAGCAACGTCCCACGCTGTCAGGGGACAATGTAAGAGAATCAACCAAGTCACGCCATGTCTGACCACCCGATCAATTTAGACGCCTCTCTAAGCATGCCAAGATTTACAGGGGACCTATTTTAACCCGCATTTCCAACAGTGTTGTAAAAGGTATACTATCTAATGCGCTTACAAAGAAATATTGAATATTATGAGTTATGCTTCGCAAAATGTAACCCTCATTTGAACCAAAAAATGTAAGTCGAACTTATTGCCCTAGAAACGCAAAAAAAAGAAAACAATCCTGAATATCAAAAGCACCTGTACAGGGATTACCTGATGAGCATAGATAGTTTCACAAGAAATATTGTAAGTTAATGAGTTAAACTACGGACACGAATCCTAGCTTCATTTCAACCCATGTCCAATTTGTTGCCTTGGAAACGCAAAATATACCTGAATACAAAAATCCTGAATTGCAAAGTACAATGCATGACTGATGGGTCATGAAGACAATAATGAATGGTTTATGATTTTTTCTCCCGAAACGACCCCTATATGCCCGTTTCAACCTACGCTCCATTTATTGTCTGGGAACGCATAAACCAACAGAAAGGGAAGCATAAACCAACAGAAAGATAAAGCTTGACTTCACGAAGATAGATTTTTCTGTTCATACCTGTATTACTGAAATTTGTTTGCAGCACGATCGTTACATAAATAATGAACTTTGTAAGAAATACTAACAGTCGAAACATGTGCACAAATTCTCTGTGGATTATTTTTTCAACTAAGACTAGTTAATTATCAAAATCAAAATATTACTCTGAATACTAAGTATTTCTAAAGCCATTGTATTTGGGAGAATCATCTACTGGAAATACATTGCATGTCAGCATTCACTGTATTTAGCCAATCATGTTATCTGAAATACATTCCAAAAATGGCCAAACTCACAGACACTGCAATGACTTCAATACATGTCAACGTTAGAAGCAAATATACATGGACAGCTTTGCAGGGTTGTAACGGTCCTCCATAACTGGCAAATATTATTTAAGCATAACCAAAGAAGGTCAAGGGCCTGGGGGTTTCCATTTAAGAGACACTTACATGAATTTGTTTCGCTCCAATAGTGAAGATCATGTCACATAAGGTATCAAATATACAGCGCTGTCGTCAATTATCTCCAATCACGAATGATCCAGGTTCATCATCTCTGGTGAGAACGTACGTCTTTTTAAAGCAGACTAAATGATTCATTTTGCACAATGCATCTACATGTCAGACATTTTGCTTAATGATTGACTTATGTTTTATGAGATGATGATAAGATTCACACTGTCATTGATAACGTTACGTTAGCTGATATACCAGTTCTCCAGTTTTCCAGTTCTCTATTTTCAAGTAATCCTGTTAAGCCCAGAAAATCCTAGCTAATGTCTGAGAGGGCGCTTCTACATGTACTAACACTCCTCCACCAATGTTACCTAATGCTGAAACTGCATTGGCAACCTGAGCGTTGAATCTTTCCTTTATCGTCCTCCTTGGTTCCTTTTCTTGCCCGCATCTCGTGCCAACCTCTCGTGGCATATCATTGTCGATGTGGATTGGTAAATGTTTGTTGAGTGCTTCACGTTTATCCTTCTCTTTGAATCTCAATGAAGTTATGGATACCTGGTCCTTTGCCTCCCTTCCAGTTATACTTGTTGACACACTTTGCAATTTGCTTGTGTCACTATCATGGTCGCCCAACAGACTGCTTGTGTCATTACCCACGTCGCTGTTGGAAGAAGTTACAGATGTCTGGCTCCATTCTTCTCTGACAATTTTTTTTATTTTCACCTGCAGCCTGCTTGAGTCACTATCGAGGTCGTTCCAAATACTTCTTGTTTCATTACCCAAGCCACTGTCTGCAGAAACTACAGATGCACAGTCTCTTGCTTCCCTGTCAAGAAAACTTGTCAAACGCCGCTGAATGTTTGTGGCCCTGTCAGCAGAAGGTATAGGTGCCTGGTTCCCTGCCTTTCTGTCGGAAATCTGTTTTGTCACAAGCTGTTGAATGCGTGTGTCAATTCTAAAGTCCCTCTCCTCTCTGCCAGCAGTGCTTGTTCTCCCGCTTGACAGTCTGCTTGTATCACTACCATGTGCACTGTCAGTTGTAGCTATAGATGACCCCTCCCGCGCATCGCCGCTAGAAAACCTTGTCATTCTCAATTGGCTGTTTGTGTCAATGCCCAATCCACTGTCAGTTGTAGCTATAGATGACCGTTTCCGCGCTTCTCCGGTAGAAAACCTTGACATTCTTGAATGTCTGTTTGTGTCAATGCCCAATCCACTGTCAACTGTAGCTATTGATGACTGCTCCCGCGCATCTCCGCTAGAAAACATTGTCATTCCCGAATGGCTGTTTGTGTCAATACCCAATCGACTGTCAGCTGTAGCTACAGATGTCCTGGTCCATGACTTCGTTTGCAGCTGCATATAAACATATTAGATATATACACAAGTTGTTATATAGTAATTCACATCATGCTATAAATATGTTGCTTATTGCACTAAAGCTTCTGCTTACTTGATCTTGTTATTTGACATTTCAATGAGAAGGCTATTTACCTGTCTGGAATGCCAATTTTCCTCACTGAGTTGTGCGGCATCTATAATCAAAACATTTCAACACTTAAATGTGTATAGCATGCATCAGATAACATGTTTGTTTTACGAATGTAACATTTTATCCTCCAACAGTGTCTGTAATTATCAAATTAAGAATATTTATTTCAAGTTTCTCTTTAATATCAAACACTGATAAATATAGCAATTTTCTGAAACGACTAAACCACACCACACAAAACATATCTGGTTAGCTTTGGAAGGGTTCATATTGGCTTTTGATATGCAATATCATTCTTCAGAATTACAATTGTGTTCTGTTACTGTCGAATACAGCAAAAATAATGAAAATAGGGGATCTCACATCATCTGACAGAGACTCATGTGAATTAGAGTTGTTCCAATAGTAAAGTGTGCCCAATCATGCCACTTTCCATTTTTATTAAAAATTCCAACAATGTGACGAGCGCATGATTTTATGTTATTTAAAATCGATCTGTGGTAACTTAGTTTTGTCTAATTATATATGAATAAATAATTTGTGATACAAATTCATGTGACACTATTGCAAACCCATTGAATTGATACCTAAACAGAACATTGAAACAGCTGAGAAAACATAAACAGATATTGATGGATTGGTGGTACCTATCATTTGACCTTCAACCCAGACTACTTGGAAACCGTACAACTGGACCGCGTTCCCATAGAACTGCCGTCTTTATTTGACAGGGTGATCGATGACTTCTATCAACAGATTTCAGGCCAGAAGGGAGATCGTATTGGTCTAGGTATCGACCACCCTGTTTTGAACACTCCCATAAGGATTCCCTTTGGTCACTTTAAAGATCTCCATGGGCTAGATATCTTACATGCCGTGGAAACAGTCCAACAAAGCCCCGAACATCGTGGTTGGAGTTAAAGCATTTTTAAAACGCAAAAGGGGCATTGTATGAATCAAGAATGAAGATTAATCTTGTTTGGCAAGGGCCCTTGTGGTGGCACAGCATTATGCTCAGAAGCCCAAACCTCTAACCCAAGAATGGGACACCCAGATAAAGAGACTGACGAGAACGGATCGAGTCAACATTCAAGGCATACGGGCACAGGATTTGTTTTGACGCCTTGGCCTGCCTGAAGGTCCCTGTCTGGGCCTGGACGACCTAGCACGCTTGGGACGCGCCTTGGCCCACATCAATTATCACCTGAAAGTCTACAGTCAAGAGGTGGACCAGAGACTGATGTACAAGTGTGATGAGGCTCCACCCAACGCCACCGTGCTGCATTTTTACCATCATGATCACCACTACGACGTGATCACTTCCATGCCAGCTTTTTATGCGTACATTACTGCGAACGCTGCGACCACCATTACGACCATCCCGATCACCATCCCTGCACCAAGCAATACCGCTGCCACCGTTGCCTCAACTCTAGCTATTGCGGACCCAAGGAAGAGCCCAGGATTCCTTGCTTGACATGTCAACGCTATTCCCAAATCAACAGTGTTAGATCCAACATCTCCAGTCACCGTCAGAGGGAAAACCAAGCGCCTGTCAAACGATTCACAGAGGCCCGACCTGTTTTCAGCTGGTCCGCGTCTTAGAGACCGCATGGTTCATCACGAGTGCTCAGATGAAGAATGTCCCTGCTTAGTGTGTCAAGAACCCATGACCCAAGACCATCGCTGTTACATGACTCCCCTCCGTGAAGCCCACGAGGAAGAGGAGGGCGAGGAAGAGAGAGAAGAGGGGGAAGAGGAAGAATGCTACAACGAAAACCGACTTGACAACATCAAATACGTCTTCTATGATTTTGAATGCATGCAAGATATGGGGGAGCACATCCTTAATTTGTGCGTGGTGCAGTTAGGATGTGGACAATGCATTGGTGAAGCGACCAATGAGTTGTGCAAACACTGTCCATCGAGACAAGAAAGTTATGGTCCCAGCCACAAGATTGTGTTTCGAGGCCCCACCGCGCGACACGATGTGTGTGTTTGGTTGACGACTCTGACTGAAAAACCCAAAAAGAAGAACCAAGAGGAGGAGAAGGGCAGCACACACAAATGAAAACAGGATGGAACCCTCTCAACTCATTCACCAACAAAACGTCAGTGACGTTCATCACCCGAGGAGGAGGAAGTGGAGGGCAAGGGGGAGGATGACATGGAGGTGGACGCGCCCACCCCTTGGAGGAGAAGGGGATGGAGAAGACAAAGATGAAGAACAAGAACACCACCACTGTCCAGAAGGAGGAGCTCATTTATGTGATGGCACATAATGCACGATCTTATGATCTGCACTTAATCCTGAAGGGCCTGTACCCACATCTGGTGAAACTCCCCACCAAGATTCGGAATGGAAACTTATGAATGTTAAGACACGGAGTGACATGGGTGGTAAAGGGAGCGGTGAAGGGAACGGTGAAATGACCGATGAACTGTGGGGTGAAGTGTAGGACGTGATGTATGCGGAGAGAAAGGCCGACGACGTGTACGCCAAGTTACGTGTGAAGGTCGACGGAGTGATGTGCGACATGATACGTTCTAAGATGGGGAAACTGACTGAACCCAAGAAAGTAGCACCGAAGAAGAAGACCCAGAAGAAAAAACAAGCAAACCAGCAGCAGCAGCAACCACCAACCACTACAACAGCACCAGCAGCAGACAACGAAACGGAAGGGACATCCTTTTTAAAAACCTGCAACACCTGCAACACCTGCAAAAAGACGACCACGGAAGAAATTGTCTCTGAAGATCTCTCATCAAGAGGTAAAATGTAAGTACCATGCTATTCTTTGGGATGTGTATGCCGTTATACTGATGACGATGATGATGGTGATGATGATGATGAGTATCACGAATGCATGACTATGATCGTTGGTATACTTAAGGATTCTTTTCTTGTTTGATTGACAGGACACCCATCCTTCCTTCCCCTGATGTCGGTTCAGCGTAGTCCGTGTTAGAACAGTGCTGGGGACAGTCCCCTCGGGAGCCAACCTATTCGCCTAATGCGTCTGTTATGATGACGACCAGTGACGGTGATGATCATGAAGCGCTCAAGCTGACAGCCCTCCCTTCCATGGATCTTGACACACCCATCCTGCTTGATGCTTCTTGGTCACCAGCATCACCGGAGGATGTCTTCTCCACATGTATGCCCATGGTTTGCAACGACGATGACAACGTTGACGACGAACTCATGGGGAAGCTCAACTCACTCCCCTACAACGTGAATGTAGTGTCTGCCGACACAACAACATGTTAAGATACATAAGCTGCAACAGTGGTCAAGTGATGTGTCATGTCTGTTTCAGGGAGGCCCAACTCATCTCAACTCAACATCTCAACTCCAATAGGGTGCCGAACCGAGGGTAGAGGCTGAGTTGAGATGTCGTCTACGTTGTCTGTCTGTTTGTCTGTCATGTAAAGAATAAAAAGAAATAATAGACAAAAGAGAAAGGCCATGCTTGACAGATCAGCTGCCTGGTGTCAGTCACCCAGTACACAGGACATGTCAGTGATATGCAAGACGCCACCGAGTCCACATCGTTGTTCAGACTGTGGTAAGACATTTTCTAGAAGAGATGCCTTACTTCGTCATAAAAAACACGTCCATGGCTTATCACCAACACCATCAGCCATGAGACCAGAGACATCACCGTCGCCTCCGCTGCTGCCGCAGTATATGGTGGAAAGACGGTCTATGAATACCATGCCACCATCCAGAGTTGTCCCCGATACCGAGTGGGTGTCTGAAAAGGCGAGAGAAGAAGCAAGAAAACACACACTCTTTATGGACGACAAACTCTTTATTGATGACACATGGCGACTCAGTGACATTCTGGAGGGACCTTCTCCTTCTTACAACTTGTGTCATCCTTCTCATCCTAACTATGATTCATTTCAAGAACGTCTGAGGCCTTTTCAAACGTGGCCTATCACCAACAGATGACCCAGACCCCTTATGACATGGCCATGGCTGGTAATTTCTATCAAGGATGAGGTGACCGTGTTATCCGTTATTACTACGGCGGGACACTCTGCCAATGGTAAGCCACAGACAAACCCTGGAAAGAACATCTGAAGCACGCCAAAGTCCCCTGAGAATACTTGTGTGTGTTTTGTCCTGATGGAGAAGTGAACGAAAAATACAGACATTTGTTGTCCGAAGAAGCACGGAAGAGAAGAGTCAAGTGTCTTGTTCACTCCTAGTGACAAAGTTTCCTTTTTTCCAAAGTTTACAGACGTTCATACCCTAGTGGTCACCCTAAGGTATGAACGAACCAATCAGGGCGCTGCGTGGTGAAGCAGTCAGGAAGCAGGGTGTCAGTCCCTTTTCTATAAATCAAGAGCGAAACCACTCACAAACTGCATTGTTTGAAATCAATCATGTCGTCTCAATACAGCTGCATGAAGTGCCAGACCGACAGTCACAGTTTCCTGTACTGCCCTGAAGTGACATGTACCAAGTGCCACACTCAAGGTCACCGCCACTATGTCTGTCCGAAGATAAGCAGTCAAGATAAGCAGAAGTCTCCCCAGGGCCCATGTTACAACTGTCAAGTCGTGGGTCATTTCGATGCAGATTGCCCAGAACCCAGTCGAAAGAAAACTTCAGCAGTGCCGTCCATGTCGACACCAGTGACACCAGTGACACAAGTGACGCAAGTGCTTCATCTCATAGTAGCCATGCATATCAATGTCCGTGCCCTAAAAGAATGCATCGCACAACTCCATGCGGGCATCACACCACGTCTAGGGAAAAGATAACGGGACAGAAGCCCCTGAAGAAAGCACCCTTCAAAGCGTCGGCAACGTCATCAGTTAGAAGAGGAGGAAGAGGTGGAGGAGGAAGAAGATAGATCATCTGAGCAAAGTGACTAACGCATGGGGCATGCTGCTCCACTGTTTTTCAAGTTTCCAATCGTTTCCAGTTTCCAATTTTTTCCAGTGTTCCAATGTTCCCACATTTTCCTGCCGTTTCCAGTTTTTTTCCCATAGATCCTTTTCAGGGCCTCCCATCTCTCCCGACAGAACGCATTCATCTATTGCTTTGACTACCCTCAAACCAACCTCCTCCTCCTCCCTCCCTCCCTCCCTCCCTCCCTCCCTCCTCCCTCCTCCCTACAACCACCACCACTTTTTTTTTAAATAAGAAAAAAAATGAGCTTAAAGGGTTTTACGTGCGCTTCTTTTAATTTTGATATTTTGATATTTTACAAGCGCTTCTTATGGTCGCCTTCACACCGGAAACGGATGTGCTGCCCTCTTGGAGGTGCGCACGCCTCCCGGAAACGGACATGCCGCCATCTTGGATGCGCGCGCCACCGGCAACGGAAGTACCGCCATCTTGGATGCGCATGCATGGCCCACCATGCCCCACGTGACCAAACCGAAACCGGAAGTGACCCTCACACATGCGCAGACCCATTTCTGGCCTCATATGTGGCTACATTTCTTACCTAGCTGAGTTTGTGTTGTTGTGCCCCGACATTGTCGCTGCTAAGAGATTAAAAATTCGTGCCACTTATGAAGATCTTGTGTCTCTCACCAGCATACAGCATGAGCAAAAGTGATATTTCTTATTAAAAAACATTTTTTTAAAAGAACTTTGAAATGAAAATTAAGTAGGTAACTATCGGTTTTGCAGAAGTAGCTACATCATGACTACCAAAGGACCATGAATGACTAGTGTAAATGTAACTACACTGGCAATACTGCCAAATACCTTGTAGGTCAGGGACCTTGGGTACTGATTGTGCGGTGCCAGTGATGTAGCATATCATGTCATCTTCCGATGATTCATAAGGTGTAGAGCCAGTTGATGTTCCAGTGTCACTGTCGGACATGGTTGGTTGAAATACTGTACTCAAATGTCAAACGTTGGTCTACAGGATTTGGTAGTGTAGTCTAGAATGTGATACGATTCATTCACTTCAGCCATATTTAGCTCATCACTATCCCTAACATTATTCCAACTTCTTGGAAATATGTTCCCTCGATGATTCTTGTGTTACATCAAGCTCAAAACCAGTGTAATCTGGAGTCTTAGTAGTATATCATTCTTTTGATGTCTTAGTGATTCACTAACACCCGAGTAGTATGACCCATCAATAACCTTGGACATAGACGTTATATTGTCCTTTAGTATCAAAGTGTTCCCTTTGTAGTTAGTCAATTTTGTAGCATCTCTCTTAATGATTGTGACTTGTTCTATGGTGTGCTTGAATGTTTTTCATATCATATCATCTTCCGATGATTCATATAGTGTAGAGCCGTTTGATGTTCAGCGTCACTGCCGGACATGGTTCAAAATTTTACAAATTCACTACAACTGACAGATTCGTAGTATCAAGAACATTTCGTGCAGCTACTCTTGGAGAGTTTGGGTATAAACATGGGAGTGTATGATTCGTGATCTTTGAAGCCATTTACAACGATCCATTCGACACACTGTAGACATCTTTGGCTCACCACTTTCTATGAGGTATGTTCTGGGTCCAAGTTTGTCATAGAACACAACTCCGTGGCAATACCGAATGGCAACTTCCAAAACAACTAACCCAACATCCTTCCCTGGCAGCGTGTGGAATATGATGTTGATCAAGTCCTTTGGCCCCTCTTTAAATGTTCCTTCATGATCCAAGACACAGATGTCAGATTCCAACTTCTTGTAAATATGTTGTCTCAATGATTCTTGTGTGATATCTAGCTTAAAACCAGTGTAAGCTGGTATCTTAGTGGTATATCCTTCTTTTGTTTTTTGATTGGATTCACTGACACCCAAAAAGTATGAACCCCCACCAACAACCTTGGACATCGACGCAATGTTGTCCTTTAATTTCAAATTATTCCATATGTAGTCAGTCAATTCTCCAGCATCTCTCTTAATTCTTGCGACTTCTGTGTTTTCCTTGAATGTTTTCAGTTGTATATGCCGATTCTCTTGCAGTTCTTGGACATTACCTGGTAGTTTTGCAGTAGTGCAGCGTCGTGTCTGACAGTTTGTTTTTCTCAGGTGCACCTTTATGTTTAATGAGTTGATGGTAAGATTCTCACTGTCATTTGTCGCTTTAGTATTGAAATCAACAGTACATACACTGTCAACTTTCTTAACTTCTATCAGAACAAAGTCACTGACATCTTCAAATGTGTTAATCTCACACAAACATTTACGTTCATAGACGTCAGTATAAAGTTCGCCACTTTCAAGTAACCCTGTTAGCTCTTTTCTGATAGCCTCGTCAAAGTATTCCAGACACCTGTCTCCCGGTGAGGTCCCTTCTACGTGTACTAACAACACTCCTCCGCCACTGTTACGTAATGCTGACACTGCTTTGGCAACTTTAGATATGAATCTTTTCTTTCCTGTTCTCCTAAGATCCTTTTTTTGTCTACTTCTTGTGCCACCCTCCCTTAGAATATCATATGTTGTGTGAATGGGTAACAGTTTGTTGACTGGTTCACATTCCTCCTTTTCTATGAATCTCTCCCGGACATGAGTACATCTGGAACACACACCTGTAATAGAAAACAAGTCCCTTCTTGGTATTTTATCTGATATTGGGTTGTATGGAAAGTTACATTTTTGTGTCGTGTGGTCTTATCAATGAATATGTGTTCCACTCCACGTTTTATATCAAAGACAATATAATACATTCTCTTGTTGTATTTAAACCAACTGCCATCATAACATAAAAAATCATGAATAAGATCTTTTGATTTAACTTGATTTCACTACCCCACATATGTATAAGTAACTTCTCTGTCTTGCAGTTTATACAACTATATTTTTGTAACACAGACTGCAACAAAAAATTCAACACCCTGTCAAAACGATTGTTTGGGTCTTTTACCTTTGGTGAAATCTTCACAAGGATTATCAAGAACGCCGTTCGTAGGATCTGAAAATATAAAAGAACTATTTGTTGTAATGAGTTAAACTGCAATTCCAATTCCATCTGACAATATGTTTTAGTAGAATGGTTGCGCTAAGATGCCATGTGGTAAATTATGTGTTTGATTTGGAATTTACCAAAAACCTTTCAAATTTTTAAACGTTCATCTGATGATCTGTGTGTAATGATCTCATCAAGATATACAAGGCATACTGTCATATAATAAACTGGCATTGGAACATGCTTACTCGATCTGACCGGGACAGAATGTAATCCTTGATGTCAACATGTGGCTTCAAACATTTCCTATGACAAACTAAACCCGAACTCTTTGGTAATGTCCAACGTGATCAAGAGTCAGTTAAGTAATTCTCATATTTTTTAGACATTAACTCTAATATGCCATGATAAACATTACCAACCTTCACCACTTGTAGACAAATTCATCACTCCACATCATCTTGTTTTCAACATCAAGGTGAATCCTGTTGCATATATAGTAACATTCAGATATAAAATTGTATACGGTCGGATAAATGACTTATGTAAACATGTTATGAAAAGACTGAAACGCAGTTTGCAAACATGCCAAAAATTATATTTAAACAAATATTAATGTCAGTCAATGTTAGGACAAGGAGCTTTCAGACAGAGGGATAACTAGATGAGTGAGTACGAGGGAACGTGTGGAATGGAGGGTCAAATACATAAATATAATATATATGTCTATGAATAAGATCACAATGGGCAATGGCTATGACCTCAAGTCAGTTATAGCAATAGCTTGAAAGGGACTTTGAATAATGTGGTACCAAACCAACAGAGGGTGCCTGAGAAAGCTTGAGGCTACGTATATTTATGTAATAAACATATATTTAGTCTGAAATAAAACATCTTTAAAGATATTCAAGAAGACATCAACTCGACTTTCAGGTCGTGATTCACAGATACAATATGCATACTAATGCACAGCTCATAATTTGGATGTTTGCGTGTTTGGTCAGAGCATGATGATCACACATGTTTGTTTAATGTTAACAGAACACAATGATTGTTTAGCTGTCAGGTGCTCATAAGTGCATTTTATTTAACCGTTATTAAGGCTTACACAATGCCACAGCTTGCTGAAAATCAACGTCAACACAGTTGATATGCTGTAAACAGCTGGCGCAAAACGGAGTTGCCAGACATTTTAATGTCAATCGAAACAAAATATGATCTCTTTGGAGATGCTATTTATAACAGTGCAACACTTATGAGTTGCCACGGACTGGTCGTCTACTTGTGACTTGTGACTTGAACAAAACAACCGTATTAGTGCGTTACTCAACGTTGTCAGTTTAAGGTGGATGTTTAATGATATGGGATGGCATCACTCATGGGAGAACATAACTCATCATGGTTAATGGCAATTCGAATGACGTACGCTATCAGGATGACATCGTTCGAGAACCCTTTGTGCAACTGCAGGAACGTAACATCACAATGCTGCTGGATAATGCCCTTGCACGTATTGTTATAACGTTTTCAGGCAACATAACATTGTTGTTTCTGGAGACATCTCCCCTATTTAACATGAGATGGGATGAGAAGGAACGAAGCCTGCGACAGGATCAGAACCAACCCGTAACGCAAGCGAAGGTACGCCAATCTTTTAACATTTGGAACAACAACACCAAAGCTGCCGCTGCCTCGCCTGTATCAATGCAAAAGGAATTTACCGATATACTGACATTGCAAATTGAGTTGTTCCACAAGCTCTCTTTCAGGGCTTGTCTCTCTGTCTCTTGTTACCAGGAATGGATTATGCATTTGTAATGATAAAACTTTTTTCAGACGAATGACCAACTATTTTGTTGATAGTTTAATAGCATAACTATAACATCACCTTATATGAAGCTCTGCTACTTATTTCACTTGAAGTTTTTTTCACTGTTTATTCACTTATTTAAATTGTTTATTTTTAATTGTTTTTGTACACTTGGATAGTTCGGTTAGTGTCAGCTGTAATTGTAAATTCATTTCACTTTCTTGTCAAATGGTCTTTTGTTGTACACCCTACGAGGGGTGGCTGAAACGTTCTGAGTCTAACTATGAAGGATGCATACTGTTAGAATGTATGAAGTAACTTCATAAGAAAATCACATCATCATCCAATCCCTTATGATCGTCTGTCAGTTGCAAGGTGAGGTGAAGTAGGCCTTAAAACCGTTTTCAAGATTATTGCACTTATATAGTGACCTGCATGTATGTCTTCGAATAACAAATGTCTTTCATATATTCACATCATTTATAGTATTTCGAACCCAACTCCATCCAGTATTTTTTCATGTGGCACAACACATTTCAAAACCTTTCCTATTTTGATAACTGATCCTGTATTCAAATGGTCTTCTATTTCATGGAATGTGCCGTTTGTGGATTGATTTACGCTGGACACATACAACAGAACAAACGAATTGAATAAAAGACGTTGGCGGTCTTTCTAACCAATGAACGTCCTACATCAATATTTTGAGTCTGTTTCCGGCATCTCAAAGACGCCTCCGCAGCCATAGTTACAATACAGAGGGGCGGTCGGGTAGCCTAGTGGTTAAAGCGTTCGCTCGTCACGCCGAAGACCCGGGTTCGATTCCCGACATGGGTACAATGTGTGAAGCCCATTTCAGGTGTCCCCCGCCGCGATATTGCTGAAATATTGCTAAAAGCGGGGTAAAACCAAACTCACTCACTCACTGCAATACAGAACGAAGACCAAATGAAGGCTGCAGTTTTAATACCTTGTCCCAAGCATTTCATTTGTAATTTACTCTGTTTACTGAGTTAAGGATGACTTCCGGGACTTCAGTCCACCAGCAGAAAACATCATAAATGTTGCATTAGTGAAATTAAAATTGACTTGCCTTATTGCAACAAAGGTAGTTTGACCTGAAATTGGAACAGGAATTCCAATGATTTGAATAAAATATGTTGAAATGTTTACAGATCTGAGACCACATGTTGGAAATAAGTTTAACCTTTATAAATATCGTAAAATCCCGGAACATAGATCTTGATTTCCATTACAAAAAGACATAGATTAAATGTCATTACATTTTAAAAAAAGTAATCGCCATATAATTATTTAAGATATTTCAGATTATAAGCTGATGAATCGTCAATACCTGTCATTAAAATCATACATACATAGACGCACTTGTATATTTTGTTCTACTTACCCCACACTTTTTGAAAACTATTACTTTGTTAAAGCCGTCTTCTTACACAGTGGTTTTTCATATTCTGACTCGCACATTCAAACAGAGCACATTCGAACACAGGCTATTTTCTAAGACGTACGGGGGAGAAACTGCGTTGGACATATAGGCGGTCGTTACAGTAGGTAGTCTGTGTTTGTTTGGCTTAGAAACCACACGTAATATCGAATTTATATAAAGCTCTTTGCCGATAAGCTGGCATACTTCAATTCAGTGCAGGGGTAAAAGCGTTGATAGCATGCAATAAAAAATCGTATCGTAAAACTCTCTAGGAGGGATCACTTGAACCAGATTTCGTTCTTTACACAGTGTGGTATAATTTTTATATCCGATATGAGAATAACTAGAATATTAGACGCGGGGTTATAAATTACTTCTCCTCACTAGAAGCATATTTCTGCCCCACCTCCCCCCTCAACAATATTACTATGCTACATATACGCCTCGCACTACTCACTCACTAATACACGTATTTATATTTCAAAATACTTTATATATGAATGTATCTAGTGTTACCTATTTAATTAATTAAGCCTATTTAATCACTTGCAGTGTTTTCTGTATATGTATTTCTTCATACAGTTTGACACGGTTATCTCCAGAACCTAGTCTCAGGTCCAAACCACCTTTACCTGGAAGTTGGTTCATTTTGTGAAGCGGAAATATGCATTTAACATAGCTGTGACGAAATCTCTTATATATGCTACCTTTCGTCACCCAATCATGTAACACCGCAGTACAAGTACATTGCAATATGAACCAATTGTTCAACCTGTTCTGTAATTACATTTGTGTCTAAATCTGAATGTACTCTTCCAAAAAAAACGCAAAACGGATATTTATGGCCATAATAGCAAAATTAGTGTCAGTGACAAATTTCCCGGATCAAAATGATCACAACAAGGGCATGCAAACCATTAATCGGGAAAAACGTACGATTCGGAAAAACGCACCCAGTGCTTTCACAACAGGGCCATAGAGCTGCACGCACTGCGCATGCAGGAGCTCTATGAACGGTATCAAAGCGTAGGGTTTCTGATTGCCTGGCAACAGTGATAGTTCAACAACATGCTCAGATTGACAGAAGTGCAAAGCAACAACGTTAAAGGCCGCTTGCAGGCAGGGAAATCCCGTTCAGCTGTAGCCAGGGTTTTTAAATGTAGCGCCCAGCACCATCACAAGGCTATGGGATCGGTTTCACCAGCATGGGTCAACACGTGATCGGCCAAAGTCGGGACGACCAAGAGAAACAACCCCCGCCCAAGATCGCCTTTCATCCTCAGATGACGTTTACACAGGACATGTGTTGACACTGTTCTCAAAAGTATATTGTTCTGTCGCAAAATAGTTCTTTGTTTGCGTTTATGTGTTGTTTCGGTTGTTGTCAGTGATGTATAGGAACTTTTTCACGCTAGTATACATACAGATGTATGACGCGAAGGAAAGAGATGTTAGAGAAAGGAAGAATCACTCGCGAGGGTTCACACCATTCGTTATAATTGTGGATGACTGTTATATGTAGGCTTGAAACTAAAAACAGAGACAATGTATGTCAATGCATTGCGAAAAATTCTGACAAATATTAGAGCAAACAAAATATCATTGTCAGTTTCGTTGAAGATTTCGAGCTAAGCCCTACAGTATCGGACCTGGCAAACTAGTGTGTTACAACGTCATTTGCGTCCTGGCATCGAACTCTCTGAATCATACGTACATGTGTATTTCACTATATTGCCTCATAACGTAGAGTTGCATCGATCGTCATTATTGGGACATTTCATTCGCGAATTTTACGAACGTGAGTTACTCTCATTCAACATACATCTAAGGAGCATAAGAACTATTTCAGTATATGGGATCTCGATCCAGCACAATCAACCTTTTGGGGTATTAACAAAACATGTCAACAGCTCTAATCGTTACATTATAGCTTTCATAAAACCTTTGAAATATGCAACAGTAAAACAACTGTTTTCGAGAACAACTGACTTTATAAGTCGGACAGACGGAGCCAGGTGTGGTCTCGTTTCACCACTACGGGGTACGCGGGAGGTAGGTCATATTGACATGAATACACCTCAGCCCACGACACCCATACAGGTTATCTTCAGTGCTACTCACGACGTGAAGCTTAAACTTGATTGTACATGTATCTGATTCGCTTGTTATATCATACTAAGACACCCGATTCCAAGCAACACAACAATCCTTTGTTTACATTTGCGACGTTATCAATATCAATTACATGACTGAAAGCTTGGCAGTGTCAGGAGGTCGGTTACCCAGTTTGTATGCCCGTCTTGGGGCTACCCTCAACTTCAGGGTCGAAAGTACCCTGGTCAAATAATGGGATCTGCAGGTTATCCCTCCGACAAAATGTTTCAGGGCCATTATATATTAAGAAGAAATTAGAATTTATATTCGACATGGAACTTTTGACCTGCATCCTCGTGAAACAGGGATTGGAAGAGTTGTTGTGCATAACTCACTGATAACTTTAATGTGCTTTAGTTATTGAGACTCTTAAGTGAGAGAATTTTTTTTAATGTATTCATTTCTCACTTGTATCCACACCGTTAAAGGTTACAAATACTAAAAATCAATCACCTCGCTACATTCACTGGAGTAATATCTACAATTTGACAACTACATTCGTCCACGTCAGATATCGATTTTATTAACATTCCCGAATCGGCCTGCAGATAAGTAACATGTACTTTTTATGGTAGCAAGGATTTAACATTGACACTGTTATTGATTGACTTGTATCGCTTGTGTTGTTTAAGGTTAACATGCCTGTTGTTTTTACAGTAAAGACATAACATGGACTCTCTGAAAGAAGCTAAAATGTATTCGTAAAACTGTGCTATGGCATATCCGCTGGGCCTTTCATTGCATATCATTTCTTGATTAGAATTTGTATTTCTCAATCACAGATTTGAGAAAAAAACGTAATATTCGTATCAACAAAATGGATATCACAATCATTACATATCAATTTTCATTAATATTTTATCGAACGATTTGGATATAGTTTTTTTTAAACATTTTGGTAACCTAAGGGGTTGAAGTATCACGGAAACGTATGACGTCATCCAATTCGTTTATGACGTCAAAGCATTCCAGAAAGACATTATGTCTGTCTTATAACTGTATACGAGAGGACATAGTTCCTCCTAACCGGAAGTCTGAATATTGGCAATATTCATCGAGATGTTAGAATGTTCTGTGTATGAATCGAAGCTCAGGAGAAGCTGTTTTTATGACGATATGCTACTTTTTTGTATATCTTAGTTAAACTAACACTATACATTAATGAGAAACATATACCATATTGGATCAGTGTATCAGTGAATATAAGCAGTGTATGGAAATGTCAACTTGAATGTCGATGTGGATGTCAACGTGGATGTCAACATGAATGTCGTAATGGATGCCAACGTGGATGTCAACATGAATGTCGTAATTGATGTTAATGTGGATGCCAACGTGGATGTCAACATAGATGTCAGCATGGATGTCAACGTTGATGTCAACATGAATGTCGTAATGGATGCCAACGTAGATGTCAGCATGGATGTCAATGCGGATGTCTTAATGGATGTGAACGTGGATGTCAACATGAATGTCGTCATGGATGCCAACGTGGATGTCAACATAGATGTCAGAATGGATGTCAACGTTGATGTCAACATGAATCTCGAAATGGATGTCAATGTAGATGTCAACAGGAATGTCAGCGTGGATGTCGTAATGGATCTTAATGTGGATGTCAACGCGGATGTCAACGTGGATGTGAACGTGGCCATCAACATGATTGTCGTAATGGATGCCGACGTGGATGTCAGCATGGATGTCAATGCGGATGTCAACGTTGATGTCAACGTGGATGTCAACATGAATGTCTTAATGGATGCCAACGTGGATGTCAACATAGATGTCAGCATGGATGTCAACGTTGATGTCAACATGAATGTCGTAATGGATGCCAACGTAGATGTCAGCATGGATGTCAATGCGGATGTCCTAATGGATGTCAACGTGGATGTCAACATGAATGTCGTAATGGATGCCAACGTGGATGTCAACATACATGTCAGCATGGATGTCAACGTGTATGTCAACATGAATGTCGCAATGGATGTGTGAGTGGATGTCAACAGGAATGTCAGCGTGGATGTCGTAATGGATGTCAACGTGGATGTCGACGCGGATGTCAACGTAGATGTCAACGTGGCCAACAACATGAATGTCGTAATGGATGCCGACGTGGATGTCAACGTGGAAGTCAGCATGGATGTCAATGTGGATGTCAACATGAACGTTGAAATGGATGCCAACGTGGATGTCAACGTGGATGTCAGCATGGATGTCAACGTGGATGTCAACATGAATGTCGTAATGGATGCCAACGTAGATGTCAACGTGGATGTCGACATGAATGTCGAAATGGATGTCAATGTGGATGTCAACAGGAATGTCAGCGTGGATGTCGTAATGGCTGTCAACGTCAACAAGAAAACAGCTCGACGTATGGATGGATTGTGTGCATATATCTCCAGCTGAATACAACGAACAATTAAGTATCCGACCATGTAGTTTATATTAAATGTAATTTGGCATCATACATTTAAGGGCTGTGTATTTCTTTTGGCTTCGCTGGGGGTATGATACGAAAAAACCAATGCCCAAAAAGTGTGAATCCGCCAACAAGTACACAACCAATCCTTATAATGAAATATCACAACAAAACATATTTTCTCAGCAGTATTTTAATGACAAACAATCATATAAGACAAAACACATACATGATGGCATAATTTGTGGAGTGACATTAATCGGGTAACTGCTTAAATCCTTTACATAAAGTTGCACGCTGATCAACGCAAATTAACATGAAACAAAGTTCGTCGTGCCTGTCAGTCAAGGTATATATGCAAAGGGAAACAACTCCGAACTACAATATGATTTGTTTGTTTGTTTGTTTGTTGTTTAACGCCGCACTCAGCAATATTCCAGCCATATGGCGGCGGTCTGTAAATAATCGAGTCTGGACCAGGCAATCCAGTGATTCATATCATGAGCATCGATCCACGCAATCTGGATCGATGACATGCATCAACCAAGTCAGCCAGCCTTACTTCCCGATCCCGTCAGTCGCCTTTTACGACAAGCATAGTCGCCTTTCTAGGCAAGCATGGGTTGCTGAAGACCTATTCTACCCCGGAATCTTCACGGGTCGAAATACTATATGAACTAATATTGGCTGTCCCTGAGTTATGAAAAAGGTCACAGTAATTACTATAGCTTGCATGCACCTCCCATGTTTTAAGGCATGTTGTTTCTTCAGCACATACTCGGGTGGCAATACTTTTAGGCCATCGACTCCACAAAGATATAGCTCTTATGGTGAGTAACATTTAAGGATTGACTGTGTATTTTGTTCGGTTCATTGAGGTATGAATCGAAAAACCGATGTGCAAACTGTATGAATCCGCGTAGCGGATTCTTACAAAAGTGTGCACATCGGTTTTTCGATTCATACCTCAATGAACCGAACAAAATATACAGTCAATGCTTATAATTAAATTCGACAACGTTAAACATGTTTCATCTACAATAGTTTAACCCAAAACAGTTGCATATATCAAAACAGACAAAAATGACGACATTGATAAACATTCCAGGCGTAGGAATATATACAGTGGCGTGACATGAATCAGGTGATCGTTTAATTTATGCACATAACTTGACACGCCTACACATTCAGTAGCCAATCAACGGAAAGTGGGATTAAAACAATGTTCATTAGACCTGTCAATTAAGGCAAGAGGCGAAAAGAACTGCAACAGTCAGACTGTAACGAAACGGAAAAAAATATGTCGACCGAGAGAAGGCGGCTGTTTCAAATAACATGGTCATTTACTGCTGATTCAAACATTACTTCCCTGATTACGGTAAAACACAGTTGGAGAAATGCTAGTTAGAAATGAAACCCGAAGACATGAAAGTTGAAGCGTGACGAGCGGGAAATTAATAGGCGAGAGAGCCTGCACGTTTGCTGCTTCATTCGTTTTCGGCCTTCGGTTTCAAAGGGTTGTTTGGAAAATGAATATGCATGAAAGTCGCTAAATTGTCCTGTGCATGACGATACACGTGAGCAGAAAGGGAATTCCCTCGACTGTAATATTGGGATTCCCCGACTTTCCGAGGTAATAAAAGTAGTGCGCCGCGGTGGGCGTGGCTTAATTTTTTACATTCATTGGGAAATGAATGCAATAACACGTGACCAATTCAGCTAATCAGAATGCAGGAATTTGCATGAACACAACGAAAATTTAATTATTTCTGACGTGAAATCTGTCATGCGTTCTTCGCGTTTTAGGAGTGTCCATTACAATCAAACAGTGTAACAAATGAATGACCATGTTTAAACGTAAAGCAGATTATCTATGCTTTTGAAACCGACCCTGTCGTGTGCGCCATTTTGTCACTACAATGATATTAGCTAATTAAGGGAGGATGCTCATAGCTATGGTGTCGATAGTCTGAACAATTGCACGTAGCTAACAATGACCTAAGTGTACCGTCACTTCGTGAACAAGTGGATGGCGAATGTGAACACACACAAATTTCTTCATTATTATGTATTAAAGGTCTCTCCATAGGACAATCATGCAGATCAGCAATGGGGCATCTCAAGTATGACACAACTAATTGGGGATCATGTCACAAAATATTATGACACAACTAGTTTGTGAACAATATTCATATACATTGTACCGAGTGAAAACTGTAAAAATATAAACTGACTAAACTAAAGAAACTTAACCAACTCAAAATATAAATTTCAGACAAAGTATAATTTTTTTTCCGATGAAGTCTATCGAAAACACATAACTTAAATACAACAATAGTGTTTGCAGAAAATGTTAATCGTCTGTTACATGTTTGCGAGATAACACGCGAAAAGGTGAAAAACACGTGCACCACGGACAACTGAAAATGCACGCGCGGGTAAAGGTATAAAACGATTGCAACGGCAAGTCAGACATCCACAGTGATAAAAAAACACCAAAGAAATGCCACGACTTACAGTCGAACAACGTGAACGAGCCTTGGGTATGGTACAGATGGGAGCCACCCAAGCCCATATTGCACGAACCTTCGGTTGCTCCCGTGTTGCTGTTACCAACTTGATGCAACGTTACAGACAGGCAGGGCGGACCGCTGACAGACCAAGAACAGGCAGACCCAGGGTGACCACGCCCCATGATGACCGGTACATGTGAAATCTCTTCCTGACAGTGACGTCATCGGCGACAAATGGTTTAGGTCACAGGGTTAGTCGACAGACAGTGGCCAGGAAACTCAGGGCTCATGGAATCAGGGCTTTAAGACCATACAGAGGACAGCTATTGACAGCGCAACATCGTCGTCTGCGATTGAGATGGGCCCAGACTGTACGACGTTGGCGACGACGTGACTGGCAGAGGGTTGTCTTCACTGACGAAAGTCGATTCTGTATGTTTAGGGCTGATGGAAGACAACGTGTTTACCGCCGAAGGGGTGAACGAACGGCGGCGTGTTGCGTGCAGGAGGTCGGACCATATGGTGGAGGGAGTGTCATGGTGTGGGGAGGGATCTGTGGGCAGGAGAGGACACCGCTGGTCATCGTTGACGGAAACTTGACAGCTCAGCGGTACATGGATAACATTCTTCGTCCAGTTGTCCTACCATTTCTCCAACAGCAGCCACGTGGTGTCATTTATCAGCATGACAACGCTAGAGCCCATACAGCCAGAATTATCACTATAACTTCCTCGCAGCCAACAACGTCAACGTCCTGTCGTGGCCTGCGTCAAATCCCACGTGACCTCATCAGACGACTGACTTTTTTCTTTGCGTCGAAGAGTTTTTGCGTGTATTGAGGCATTTGGTAGTCACACACGCTACTAATGGCTTGTTGTTGAACGTGAGCGATTGTTTATGTACTCTGACTATTGTCCATGATTCTGAAAGCTCGAGTTTTGTACCACACCCAACTATGGGGGGCTCTGACGTCATTCTCGGTCGCGGTATGATTGTCATTTTCAGTGTTGATTATGTTGATATATTGATCTTCTCAATACACTTTACTTCATGCATGTATGTTTTGTTGTTTTTGAGTTGGAGTGATTTCAAACTCTGGTAAAGTTTCTTTTGGACGTCAGTTTATATCAATAATTGGTAAATATTTTCCCAACATTTCAGTTTCGTGATTTTTTTATTTGGTTAGTATACACCTACTGTGTGGCGTTATGCCAAATGTTTAGATAATTCTGAGTTGATACAACTTTTTTAAACGAGTATCATCTGCGTATGCACGTGCATGTTACCATATATATAATATAGGCCGTGGGCTAGGTATGACCCACGAGCACCCCCCCTCCTCCCCCCACCACATCCAAACCCCACTTAAACATACTAAACATGATTTTGAATGTTAACAAGAAAAAAGTTGGGCCGAACTTGTTGTTGCAGCCTTTCAAAGTAGGGTACCCTATATCGCGTTTTCGCCCGGTTTTGCCGTATATCACTTGGGGGTATGATTACGTTTTGGGTTGTCATCTCACCAGTGATCCACTGATCTTCAAGTGTGATATACCACTGGAATCCATATATAAATACCTCTCAAATGAGGTATCAATAATTGGTATTGAGTGAATATGGACTAACCAATGGCAAATCGAACGTCATATATCCCGACAAAACTATTTTTTTCTCGCAGAAACCTTTAATCCGGTATATGTTCTAGGTACGTGTGCCTGTTTCCACTATAATCGTCTAACACGTGTTCCAGTACATCTCTTGAAGTACTTACTTAACATGTGATGTTACCAGGTGAAAATCTTTTGCACAATTTGGAACAAATTTACTCTTATAATGTCAGAGTAGGATACCTAATATTGCATTCTCGGCTTAGCTACATCGGAACAACGCTTGGATGTATGCTCAGGATTTGGCTTGTCATCTTCGGTGTTATTCACCGACCTTGATGTGTTATATACCATAGGAAACCATATATAAACACCATAATTTGATGTAGGCTGATTATTGATCTACTTTTGGACAATCATATAGAATACCTCTTGACAACTCTGATATCACTCACTTTTTTATGCACATAAGAGGTACACAGTATAATGCTCGAGTTGATTTCAGAACTTTGAATGAAATGGACCTATGTGTAACATATTCAAGATGGCAACTATAAAGCTGTGCAACAAAACTGATCATAATGTAAATGTTATTTATTTCAGTAAATATACAAATCAATTTCTTGGACGCAGGCTTGATATTTTTGACAAATTTTGCCATTTCAAGTTGAGTTTCAGATGTTTTAGTACAGGTACTAGTTAAGGTGAACTTGCAGGGGGCACCACCGAAGGTAAAAGACGAATTCACTTACTAACAATTAATTCATACATCACTTAGCTACCTAAGTTTCCAATTTACAGAAAATGTCCAAATGCGAATCATCCAAATCGTATATGAATGGCTTGAAATGAACAGGGACCATGCATTCTCAGAAATAAATTATATTCCAATTACATACTTAAGATTCTCTTACAGAATACCCAAGTTAATATATATGGAAATGTCCAACCTTGTAACAATGTCATCACCATGATTATGTGTCTTTTGAGGTTGAACTGTTGTGACTGAAACCAACATCTTATACAACCAGGAACAACTCGAAGACAGCTTTGACATCTCAACCTAAACGGAAACGTATCCCCAGTGATCCAGAGCCAGTGTGCATCGTACATGTACCTGGCTTGAAGTATGGCCTACTACAACAGCATTTTAAAACCTTTTTCTATTACCCGTCACCCCTACAATAGAAATGATGGCATGTTCGATTTCCAAGAAATGACCTCTCTCACAAATTTCCGAGAAACGACAGCCAGTCCACAGTGTTCAACAGTGTGCAACAGTTTGATAGAAATTAAAACATCTCTCTTTGGATTAAGTTAGGAGTGTTATTTGTCAACTTCGTTTGAAAAACTATATGTTTTGAACACTTATTATGAACTACTCACGACTTTGGTGTTTTTTAATCTTGAACTTAAGTAATATTTGTTACATATATAACTACCTGTGACCACTTTTCGGAATGTTCTAAGATCGCGGACCTGTGCACCTGTGTTATTAAGCATTGCAAGAGAGCGCTGTTTTCAAGCCTTGTTGCCGTCATGGTAGAATGGAGATAAACCTACTGTGTTTTGAAATTTGATGTAGTCCGACTGTAGAATAGATACCTCTTTATTATAATTTTGACACTCGCGAGAGGTTCAAAATTATAACAAAGAGGTTTCTATTCTACAGTGGGACTACATCAAATTTCAAAACATGGTAGGTTTATCTCCTAAATAAACCAAGACCAGCTTTCGTGTGAAGATCACCCCGTATTCACTGTCAGGACCACATCAAATGCTTGACCTCATCACTGCTTCGTGACTATACTATTATTACTGACTTTTGCTATCACCACAGTATTTTTGTATTTGATACTGACCACTGCCATGATATTATGTATTGCCATTGAATATTGTACTACCACTCTATTGTGTTCTACTGCCATTGTAATTGCTGTGCAGTAATTTGTGTTGATTTGTGAAACCAATCAATTCTGTTAATTGTGTACAAGTTATTTTACGTACATATTTCTGGGTTAACATAATGTTTCAATTTGGAAGTCGACACATAACACTTGCAAACATTCACTTTAGAATTCCGTCAGCATCCTCGTGTATACGTGGATCTCGGATATGCAGTGCCTCAATATATACCCACGATCGACCAGACACTATTTTTATTATCTCATTGAGATGTGACGGTTCATAATGCTAAAACTGCAAATGAATATTTTTATAGTTGTATGATAGTAGTAGGATGTACATCCACCCCTGAAGCCTCTAGCAGGGTCCCTTGTGACAGTCGACTGAAGAAGAATGGTGACCTTGTTTATTTAGGGTCATCGTGCTGCGACGGCGTGGTCATGCTGTCAACCACTAGTATGTCTGTCCCAGGCTATGTACGTGCCGTCATGTGGTAACATGAATATTGTTTGAGTGCGGCGCAAAACGGCATTCACTCACTCAGTTCAAACCTTTCACTCATTCCATCATTTTTACTCAGATGAGAGAGCGGCTTTAAAATCCTACACGATTACGAAGACATCGATAACACTTTCTGTTTGCTTTTTGTCTTGTTTGTGATAAATAGTTTCTTTAAGTAAAACAAAATATATTTTAAACACTAAATACAAATTCTAATACAGAATTGGTTTAGTCACTTTATTTACTATACAGCCTTATATTTGAAAACAACAACAGAGATCCCTTTCTTACAAATTGAAACCTATTGATCAAATGTTAAAGATTCAGACAACAGATTTATGACATTCTTCCACAGCGAATGGAAGCGTTTTTACGGGAGCCAGTCGCTTTCCTCGCTGTCCTCGCTGTCCTCGTCCCGTACTTTAATAACCGTAAATCTGTACTTGCGAAGATCGATGTCCCCTTTATGGATGAGTATGTCACGTGTTTTGTGTTTCACAAGCTTCAAACTCGATATTGGGAGGAGGATCTTGATGGCATAATCTACCCTCCCGATATCCATCAGGTTCTCCCAGAATCCGGCACGGGTGTCGTAATTGTTCTTGGCCAACTCTTGTTTTGAGAAGAGGTCTGGGTCCATGGTCGTCCCATATACTCCTACGATGCAATATATACAACTTTGGTAGAGAGAAATAGATACTGTTTGTTTACTTGTTGTTTAACACAACATTCATCAATATTCAAGCTGTACGTCGGCGGATGTAAATCATTCTAATCTGGACCTGATAATCTAGTGATGGACATCATGAGCACCAATCTACGCAATTGGGATACGATGACATACATCAACCAAGTCAGTGAGCCTGACCACCCTTTCCCGATAGTCGCCTCTTACGACAAGCATGGCATGCTGAAGACTAATTCTAACCCGGATCTTCACGGGGGTCTGGTGTAGTTAATCAGCTAACCTTAAGTAAGCATATGTCACCATTTGCCTGAGTCAAGTAGAGAGAATCAATGATTTAATTCACATATCTATGGAGGTGTCTGTGAATATACGATAACTTGTAATATAATAGTCAGTCTCAACAAATGTGTCGCCTTTCATCAAGAACATGATATACTTCTCAAAAGAAGTTAAGGATCACCTGATTCTTTCATATTAGAATAGTTAATCTCTTATGCCATGACAGATTAACATTACCAATAAGAAAGAATCGGGTGATCCTTCACTTCTTTTGAGTAGTATATATTCATAGAAAACATTCCTTCAAAACATTGCTTACTAACTTACCTTCACCGAAGAGGACATCCCTACCCTTTGGATTACGGCGACTTGCCTTGATACACATACTTTGCACAATAGCGTTTTTCCCATACTCATCCGTGTAGTGGAAAAACACTGTATAGTTCATACCTAAGAGAAAAATAAATAAAAGTGAAAATAGTTGCATATTTGATATTGAACAATAACATGATAATTCTTACCGAAACAGTCACACATTGTAGGTACGCTAATAATGACAAGGTTAACATTTACCTTTAATTCAATTATTTATATATTATTTATTCGTTTAGTTTTGGCCTCGATATCGAACTACACCAGTTGCATACCACAAGACCAAATAGCGTCCATTCCAATTTGGAATGAACGTTGGAATGCTTTTGAAAGATCGCTCATTCCAAACTTTCCGAAGCTTGGAAGGATCGATCTTTCCAGAAAATCCAAAATAGGAATGGCAACATTTCCAGACATATTTCCAACACAGGAAATGTTTGGAATGACTTGGAATGGTTTGGAATGGTTTGGAAATATGGTTAGAAGGAACAAGTTAAAATATGTTTTATCAGTAATTTGAACAATAAAAAGACTGTGAATTATTTATTGAGTTTAAACTATATATAATAAATAATAAATTTATCTCAAACATTCACTACTTGTCTGTCTAGCGAGGGGCTTTTACAGTCGCATTCTCCCTAACGTGAGAGAGAGACCCGCACTTGACTCAAAAAGACACTTACTTTCTTTCTTATATTGGAGATTTAAGGTGCACTTTCCGACTGCAAGCGTATGTCGCACACGGTCCCGGCCAGGCCATTTAATGTGTTTCCAAAAAGGGGAAAAGTAAGTTTGTGCAACCCAGGAGGGGGGGCTTTAGGGGTTGCTTATATAGTAATTTTGAGATTTGGAAAGAATGCCAAGAGTGGGTGGGGGACGAACTAAGGGAGCTGTTGGGTGGTTGTTAGATAAGGTAGTTTTGGTTTTATTATTTTATTTGGGGTTTAAATGCGACTAATTAGTCCTGTTTTAATTAGGTATAAACCTAAGGCTTTGCATTTTTCTAATTTATTTTGTGGATTTAGGATTGATTCTAGTGTAAGTCCGGTTTTAAGATTTAGGGTGGTCTGTAGTGTTGTTTGGTGTGTTTGGTAGTGTGTGCAGTGAATGAGTACGTGTTTGCAATGTGGGCAGTTTCCTGTTGTCTGTAGATTAGCTATTTTACGGTGATTATTTAGTTTGGTGTGGATTGTTTGTAGTTTAGTAATTATTCTGTCGATTTTTTTGGATGGGTGTAGTATTTTTGGTTTATTTAGGTTTTTTTGAGTACTTTCCTGACTTGGCTATTTAAGTTTTGGTATATATTTGGCCATTTTTTGTTGATTTTTTGTTTAGTAAGACTTTTGATTTCTGATTTTGAGCTGGGTAAGTTTAAGCTTATTTCTGGGAGTTTAAGGGATAATATTGCTGCTTTATCTGCCTTTTCATTTCCAAAGATTCCTACGTGGGCGGGGGTCCAAATGAACTCTATTTGTTTACCTGCCCTAGTTAAGTTGTTTGAGCTATTGAATATTTGATTTATTAGTTTGGGGTGGTTTTTAGAGTTTTTATTTTTGAGGGCCTGTAGTCCACTGAGGGAGTCGGTTAGGATGAGGATTTTTTGTTGCTTTTTAGATTGCTGATTGTGTAGTGCTGAGACAACTAATAGGTCTCAAGATTAAGTATTCGGCTAGATGGCAGCTGGCATTTAATTACAAAACAGACAGTCGTCTAGACGGCTCACATGTAAGTGCGCCGACATGTGCCTAAGATCATAAAATGGACAATCTTTGGTAACATCTAATTTATTGTTGTCTCACGCCAGAGGTGTGAATAATTCTGTTCATTGAACAATTGGAATTCAGGAAGTTATCAATAATTTTTTTACTTAACATAAGATAAGAACAGTTGTTTACAACATAATATTATGATGTCAGGACGTACTACAGTCAAAACCATATATTTTAAAATCAATGTAATGACAGACTATGATTTCCAAGTCCCGATTAGCAAATCAATGAGGTATCAGTTTCACTACATGTGCACAGATCGCCTATACTTATATATATATTTTGCATAACTATTCTCCAGTTAAAGTCATATCCTCTTATCAAAAAATCTGTGAGAGTGATCATCATTAACGAAACTCATTCTCGTCAAAGAATACAGAACAAATGAAGAATCAGATGCATACATTTATTGCCATGCTTCATTCATCACGAAGTAGATTTACATACATTTGTGAATAGCACTTAAACTGTGATAATGAATTTTACCATTGTCCATATTATATTATAAATATTAACCATAATATGGATTTCCGAATATATAAACGACTCCAACGTTGATATTTCAGACATAAACAAAGTCAGCTGTCTTTTAACGTTCAGGGGAAAAGGGTTTGCTTTCACAATTGAACATTTGTTTTCACCAAAGGACAATCAAATCAAGCCAAAAACACGAAAAATACACATATATGGTTAGCCACCATCATTATACAGCGAGGGGGGAATTCGTCTGCTCTAACTGCCTTCACAAAAACATTCCAGCCCTTAATTACCGAGTCAGCTGTGACGTAGTAGCATTACATTCGCTGGGTTTGCAGCGTATAAGATGTGTAATCTGTGGAGTGACTAAAGTAATATTACGTCTGAAATCTTACTTGCATGGTTGTTTTAATAGAAACCTTACGGTTTAAAAACACAATTGTTCTTATATAATGTTTTTAGGTTTGGTTTATAAATACAAGAGAAGATATTTATACATATAAAACTGGTCGAAAATACAGCTGAACAATAGAAAAATATAAATAGGAGTTGTGAATAGTGACAGATTTTAATTACATCACCGTGTCAATAATTATTGATTGATTCCGTCAAACAACTGTCAAACCATTCATTGCCATGTACGTACATGTACACCGGAAGTCGGCGCTGTCGGAGGCTCCAGGTAAATAAACATCGTGTGTTTTTACGGGAGATCAGACGAACCGTGAACCAGGGGCATGCGACGTAATTACACCTAAAGGTGGTAGAACCAGGGTATTGTCTCTTGGACTGGCTAATTGACCGTACGTATAATTGGTAAATATATTCGTTTTGACACCCGTGTTTCATGCGCATCCCGGCTCATAAGCAGAATACAGACAAATGAGGCCCCGTGATCAGCGGAGCGTGAACAACATGGATGCCGCCTTTTGGCCGTACCGAACAGTCAAGCTGCGATCTCGGAACTTAATCCAATTGCAAGCGGAGACAAGATTACTTCCTTTACCCAAACATGATCGTTGCTCAGAAATGTTCAAATCTATCTTCAGTAAATCATGAAATTATTGCGAGCATGACATTTATGCGAAAAATGCGATCGTCAGTCCCTCTGATTATTTTAATATGTTTCATTTCATCATGATAAAAAAGTGATTCACTTATAAGGTTACCACGTTGAAAATGGAAACGATCGTTAACAAAAACAACAAAATGTATTCTCTCATCTCTCAGCCTAACAGTGATATAACTGCAAATTAAACAATCAAGTGCGCTGAAGTATAACACATGGTGGGTGGAGGACCAGGGGCACTTTGAGTTTGACAGGTGTCATCAACTGGTCAAGTAACATCACGGTTTGTATATTCACGTTGATTGGACAGTCTAGACTGGCGGCAACTAATCATGACGGCGTCTTCAGAACAGAACAGAACTTTATTTCTCCCAGGTTTATGTTTAGTGGATAACGGAAAATTTTGTTTAAGTGATAGCACATTTGTAATTCAATCTAATATACTTTCCTTGATTGATTATATGGCTGCGGTCGAAGATCCGGATGTATTTAAATATGCTCAGTATATACACAGGGTTTATTGTTATACTATTAGGATTAATAAATACAATTGAGTCTATATACCCTTAATCATAAAGTTAGTCACTACTTTCACATTTTCATTTGTATGATTTCGGTTATGATTAAATTGACAAAATAAGAAATCATTCTGTGTATATGTGTATTATATATTGTACCCCAATACATAATTAAATTGTGTATAAATAAGGACACTAGGTTAATTACTGTCATTTATTATTTGATAAACATATTCACATTTAGTTGCGTGATATGTCACAGAGGTAAAGCTAATTCATAACAACTAGTTGTCCCATTTATTTGGCTTCTATCTTTTATATGAAACAAATGCTATAACATGGAGTGATAAACTTCATTAGCAATAGACGTAGCATATTATTGTCCGCATGAACAGTCTACTCTGTTCCAGATATGTTTATTCATTTTGTCAGCATTTAAATCGTTGCATTCCTGGCTTAATGATTCATTTGACGAAATCTTGTTCCCTGTTTTGAATTACCGTCAGATAGTTCCAGAACAATTATAAAATTTCCAGCCCTTTGTGTTTCGCATAATTCCGAGATAATTCGAAGTTCATATTCTTGTACGAACACTTATCAAAATTCATTTATACCTAGTACTATTATGTACATGTGTATATTAGTTCAAATTATAATAATGAGGCCCTCTATATACTCTAAACGGTCTTTGTTCTACGACAACTGTAAGTCGGTATGGGAAAACAAAATATTTGTTTAATTGTTCAAAGTTCATAGTCAATGTCATATGATTATAGACAAGGAAGATAAGAAATTAAATATAAAGAGTAGCCACTTTAAATGACAGAAATTATTTGAGTGACATTTGCTCATGATTTGGTCTTTTTGTGGTACATAGTGCCAAAATACTCTTAATTATTTACTTTCATGTCATTACTAATCTCACATAAGGTCAAAAGTTGTACAACGTTTAACAGATATGATTATGATATGTTGTATCCAAACATTTCCAAACAAATCCAAACAAATCCAAGCTTGGAAATATGACCTTGCCAAATATTGGAATGTTCATATTTCCAATTGGAATGGTGGTATTTCCAAGTTTTGGATTTTTTGGAATGGATGATATTTTGTCCAGTGTACACAACGCAATTGCCAGCTCAACTAGGCGTGTCGAATTGAGAAACAAGCCAGGCTACCATATGTTGGTAGACCCAGTCTACGATAACCAATCACAACATTGATCTCCCGCTGCCCCTCAAAATACAACTTGTAACTACTTATCGAGTATAAGTAACGCTTACCTGAAAGACTGACGCACGGGTTTTGGTACATTTTAGCTGTATACGCAACAGCCCTCCTAACTTCGCAGAACGATGAAGAAATGAATCGTGAGGAAAGGGGTGCGTCACGTCATGTGATCAAGGTTATCCGATACCTACTTTTCGTTCTATTTACAAGTCCACGAAGCAAGCATTCTCCGAGAATGATGAATTGTGAGCTGCGAGGGATAAGTGATGTCACGTTGACATGATGCACCCGGTTGCTTCATAGTGTAATATGATCTTCACTCGACCTGTGTGTTCAGTTTCGCATGGGTTGTGTTTCTAACTTCAATAGACAATTAAAAACAGATCTGTATAAGTCGAGAGTTTTCTGAACATATTTCGCTTGGACAAACATGGATCGTTGATATTTCAAAATCCCATTCATGTAAAGCTGGGGGCATTTCTAAAATATATAGTGACACACACAGTGAAAACAAACCTCATCGCTTACACAGACAACTCGGACTGTAGGGGTTTAAAACAAAGTGCATGCTGGGTAACTATTTGCCCATCTTGAACCTCAACTGCCTCAGCATCCCATTAACACGACCTCAGCTTCGTTATGATAATAATCTGCCTTTAATAACAATGTTCTTTACGTATTACAGGTATTGTAAACAGCTCTTGGTGTGTGCTGCATTTAAACTTAAACTTTGAAATTAGAGTGTATCGGGGTTTGAGGCTTACACTCTATAGGAGTTGATACACTGCTTCTTTTTAATAACTATGATAAAGTGCCGAGGACACGCTTCTTTATGTAATTCAAACAAATTTCGGCCAAATCCAACTCATTTCATTGGTGAAAAAGGCACCAAGCCACAGAGGTCTACGAGTACAGATATGGCTACTGATCCCGCTAGACTCCCTGCTAGTGCCCTCGCAAACTTGTTTCGCAATTAATGTCGCCAAAGTTGACAAACTTGTAAAATGCCTTAGCTACGACACAGTTAGACACTGATTTTCAATATATTAGACCGTTCTTTTGATAATGAAAGCAATTATCCAAGTAAATTCTCCAGATTCCCAATGGTTAATTCTGACTCGATCGCCGAATGACAAGGGTGACGCCATGTTTGTTTGCAAACAGTGAAAGTAGTCCCTACTTGACCTTTTGATATTTGCATCTCTATTCTCATATGACGCCAGCAGATATCGTTTTAATCCGTTGGCTTTAGCCTGCCGAGAAGCCTACCCATTATATGTGTGCTTGTACTTTTCCTTGTATTTCAAGAGAAACCTGATTTGAGTGATAGGACAAAATATACTGAACAATAAAGTGAGGATCCTTAAAAAGTTTTTTTGTACCGTACACATTCAAAGAAACCCAGTCTTCACTGCAAAAATAAAAAAAATCTCCAAAATATTGATGATGCCCAATTTTATGTCTTCACTGTGTATACATTACACAGGACATGGTTCCATGGCTGCTATCCCGCTGAAGGGAAGTCACCGGACACTAGGTATACCCAGCTGTCTATGAAGGCAGAATAAGTGATGAGTTCGTGTATCCCGGAGGATCGTTTCATGTAGAATGTGTTGTAAGGTAATCACAGTTTATTTCAAACCCATCGGGAATCGGGGCAGAGCAGGTTCTGCTTCATCCCATAATTGCCCTTAGAGCAAAATGAGGATCGGGTGGTCATCTGGCTGACTGTCGTCGTAACCCGACGGCGTGATTCGTTGCTCATGCTATCAGCCACATGCTGTTCTGGCCCAGATGCGATTATGTACAGGCCACTGTGACACACATGGAACATTGCTGTCTCTAGCGTACAACAACATTCACTCACTGATTGAGTGTTGCTAAGAATGTCAACACATTGTAGACGACGACATGTGCATGGTGTAGTCCCCCTTCAACACACCTTGTAGACGATGCCATGTACACGATGTAGTCCCCCTTCAACACACCTTGTAGACGACGACATGTACACAATGTAGTCTCCCTTTAATACAAATTGTAGCCGACGCCATGAATTTTATAAAAACTATGACATGAAATAGAAAAATCACTGCAATTGTATTGCATTAACAATGAAGTGTGTGTCGACAACAATGGTAGATAGAAGTGTTAAGTACAGTCAGGTTTGGCTGGTGGAATGTAGCCCACGGTGAACAATTGCAGGCAGTTCCCACGACCTCTCGTCGTATACGATGTACAAAAGCCTCTTGTTGAATCACCGGCTGTATCTATTACGCAATATTTAAATGTCGACCAGCCTCTCTCGCTAGTGAGTAATTCGACACTAGTTCGTGGTTGGGAGTAGAATATATACTGGGCCGAAGTAAGGCATTAAGTAAGATTAAACTTGATTAAACTAATACATTTAGTGGCATTGTTACATCTACTCCCAACTGCGAACCAGTGTCGAATGACTGACTAGCGAGAGGCTTATATATATATATATATATCGGCCAGTAACAATCCCACTAAATGCATTAATTGAGACTAGTAACATTCTAAATGTTTTAGTTCGGTCCAGTATCAATCTCACTAAATGCATTGGTTTGGTTCAGTAAATATCTCATTAAATGCATGTTTCCTCTCTTAAAGGCTGGAAAGGTAGCAGCTTATTTCTTGGGAATTTTGTCATTTTCCACTTTGAATATCACCTGAGACTAAATCTTAAATGTTATGGTGTGGCTGGTTCAGAACTAACACACAATCTGCACTTTCCACAGAAGCCACAATGAACACACTTTCAGTACTCACATGTCACAGAACGGTTAATGAGGGATGGTTGTAGTCAAGAAACACCTGCTGACAACATTTCTGCTTTACAATATGTTGACTTGTTCTAACATATGACATAGTGAAGATGTGAATAATTTTTTTTTTCTATTTTTTTTTCCACCTTATTGGACTAATCATTTCCCGTGCTGTCTGTGATAAATAGCTTTTCATAGTTCCGTCATTTAAATTGTCACTATGATTCGAGTGTGCATCCATTCATACGTGCGTGCGTACGTGCGTGGTGACGGACACACACACACAATCACACGCACGTGCACGCACGTACTCACGCACGTACGCACGCATACACAGACATACATAAGTACATAATACATACAGACACACACACACGCATGGGCGCACATACACAGACATACATACATACAAGCATACAAACATTTATCCCGCAATATGCCAAGGACAGGCATGGGCCACTGAGCCGTGGATGCCCGTGCCTATAATAAAGCCAGAAGATGAGATTAAATGGGTTAAATGGCCGAGGGTGTGCAGGTACTAGTGGGCTACTAAGCTGCTAATTGTGTATACTAATATGCTACCGTTGCCATGGCCACTAGCGTGGCCAACGGCGATTCGCAGCTAGCGCTGCTGGCCTGAGACTGCTACCGCTGTCCGGCCCCCACGGTAGCATATTTAAAAACTACCATTGCTTGGCAACTACCACGCTGCCAAAAGCAGCTACCGCTGCTGGCCTCAGTCAAACTACCACTGCCCGGCCCAAGGTAGCCAGCCAAAGCAGATCCCACTGCCTGGCCCAATTAGCAAAACCATTGTGCGACTACTGCCTTGGACCCAACTGTCAGCTACCGCTTGACAAGACGACTTCCGCCGCCGGGCCCATATACGTGGCAATTATTTGCCCCAACGTATGTTATTTCACGATTCCCCAGCTGAAAAGTCGGGAAAGACCAGGTTCCCACTGAGTAGCAGGTAACCCCAGAAAGGTTCCCGCTGAAAAGCAGGTAGCCTTAATTAAGCACGAGTATTAATTTGGAAGGAAGTTAATTTGTTACTAGCAGTGTAGCCCACAAGAACCCCGCACACCTCAACATAGTTTATTGTTGAGACAGGTATTTGCACATATACATATATACAGCTATTAAGAAGTCATGTTTATTTACATATATCAGAATCGTTTAAAAGGTATGTACATATATACAAGCGCCCTGAAAACCTATTTTACATATGTACAGGTTTATTTACATATATACAATCTGCTCTGCTGGTACCTGTAATAGAAAAAAAGAAAAGAAAAAAACAGAACGCTGAAGAAATGAAGTGATTAGCATTCCAGGTGAAGAGGACACATCCGACTGAAAAGGAAAGAAAAGGAGTGGCAAGCTGGGTGGGTGGGTGGGAAAGTGATTAGATACAGCGAAACACGTGTGTACTTGAAGAGGGACGGTGCGCGAATGATGGGCTGTAACAAAGGCGGGATGATGCTTGTGCGGGATTATTGCCCGGGCACGGTGGAGAGTGGTGACCCGTGGGTGATTGAGTTACAAGGGTTGATTGGGTTACGGACGTAAGTAGCCAGTGGTTTATATTTGAGCGATAAAGTGATTTAGTAGTTAGTACTAAATGTAGTTATCCCGCGATATGCCAAGGAAAGGCATGGGCCACTGAGCCGTGGATACCCGTGCCTATAATAAAAACAGAAGATGAGATTGGGTTAAATGGCCGAGGGTGTGCAGGTACCTTGGCTACTAAGCTGCTAATTGTGTATACCAAAATGCTACCGTTGCCATGGCCACTAACTTGGCCAACGGAGATTCGCAGCTAGCGCTGCTGGCCTGAGACTGCTACCGCTGTCCGGCCCCCACGGTAGCATATTTAAAAACTACCATTGCTTTGCAACTACCACGCTGCCAAAAGCAGCTTCCGCTGCTGGCTTCAGTCAGACTACCGCTGCCCAGCCCAAGGTAGCCGGCCAAAGCAGATCCCAATGCCTGGCCCCTTTAGCAAAACCATTGTGCGACACACCGCCGCGGACCCAACTGTCAGCTACTGCTGGACATGACGACTTCCACCGCCGGGCCCATATACGTGGCAATTGTTTGCCCCAACGTATGTTAATTAAGGATTCCCCGGCTGCAAAGTCGGGAAAGACCAGGTTCCCACTGAGAAGCAGCTATCCCCGGAAATGTTCCCACTGAAAAGCAGGTAGCCTTAAGCACGAGTATTAAGTTGGAAGCAAGTTAATTTGTTACTAGCAGTGTAGCCCACAAGAACCCCGCCACAAAGCAGCATTGAGGATACGATGATCTTGGTGTCAGGAAGCTGATATAGGGGAGTGGTGAGTGACTGACAGATACGCGAAAAAGTTTACAACCTGATCCAGCGGGACTGGCCACACCTCTTGTAGCTGGTTTGTGGACCGGAACTGGTGCAAGGCATTGATGCCTGTTTGGTAAGTGGCCCATGTATTTGTAGACAGAGATTGTTGTAGGAGTCTGCC